GCTGCCGCGCAGGAGGCTGGAGCTGACAGGCATCACAAAGATTGCAGTTGCCATCTGATGGGTCACAGGCAGCCGGTGCTGGGTCACCCTAGGGCCTCTCCCCTCCCCGCGGCACCGGTGAGGCCCCAGGGAGCAAGGGGGTCCCGGGTGGGACCTGGTCTCTTCTCCCAGGTAACAGGTGATGGGATGAGGGCAAACAGCCTCAAGTTGTGCAGGTTTAGGTTGGACATTGGGAACAATTCCTTCCCCAAAGGGCTGTCAGGCACTGGAAGGGGCTGCCCAGGGAAGGGGTCGAGTCCCCATCCCTGGGGGGATTTAACAGCCGGGCAGATGAGGTGCTGAGGGCCAGGGTTTGGGGGTGGGATGGCAGGGTTAGGGGAACGGTTGGGCTGGGGGAGCTTAAAGGGCTTTGCCAACCTAAACAATTCTATGAGGGGGTGCAAACCCCAATGACCTGCCCTGCCACTTCATCTCAGAGCATCACTAGGGGACAAGAGGAGCCAGGTCCCCGCGACAGCCTGGTGACCTCCCAGCAGCAGAGACCAGGACCATCGGCTCGGGAGAGGGGTGCTCAGAGCAGGACAGTGGCCCTGGGACACTGGGACGGAGGGGGGGCCGTGCTGCAGGGAGCGGGGCAGCGGCAGCCCGGTGAGCTCAGAGCCACCAGCCGCAGCTGCTGTTGTTCTCCCTGAGCCAGACAATAGCCCAATGTCCCACGCCGCGGGGCGTGGTGTGGGCCCTGGCACACGCACAGGACCCCATTGTGTCCCCACTGCGGCACCGCGCTCGCCTGCTCCCACCGGCTTCACCAGGGGAGATTCCTCTGGGATGACAGGGGCACCCGGCCCCTCCTAGGGCTAGGAGGTGTCGGAAGGGCCCTATCCCTTCCTCCCCATCCAGCACTGGTGAGGAGAGCCCGGATGGTGTTCCCAGCAGAGCCGTGCTCTCCATCCGCTCGGGGAACGGCTCCGGAGCTGCTCCCAGTGCTTCGTCCCATCGCAGCCCAGCCCCACCAGCAGGGCTGGGGAGGGAAGGCACCCTCCCTGCTGGCAGAGCCCTGCTCACGCCCAAGCCAGCCATGCGA